TGCTGCTGCTGCTGCTGCTGCTGCTGCGGCTACCAACAAGGCCTAGGAGCCACACACCTCCACCACAATAAATCCATTAACCAAGTTCCGTCACACCGAACCTCCACTTAGATGCTTCGAATTCAAGTGGAGACGACACACTGCCTGCGATGAAAGCAACAAGCAACAACACCACCAACTAACGCTACACTTGACCATACTCACTCCTCCCACCTAACACGAGATTCAATGACAACGACTTCCCCCACTATCGACTCGTCCAACCCTCTTCACTATCTCTGCCGTCCATCCCCCCCTTGCAACAAACAACCACATACGCGAAAATTCACAGTGTTCCAATGAGGCTAACTTCAGAGCTTACACAACAACCACCTACCACAGGTGAACCCAAAGACTCCATCCACCTACCTACAGCAATCACCTGCCGCACGATCATAGCCAGGAAAGTGACAGCCACGCGCATCCCCTACCATGCATTACCGCTCCATGCTGTCCGACCTAGTGAAAGGCAATGCGACCCTACACCAGTACACAAGCATGCACGACCTCGCCAACTGATGAATCATAGCTCCGCACTGCAAACAGTTGCTCTGCTCATCCACACAGCTCCACACTTCGCCAAAGTCCTGATGCACCACAGCTTCGCACAACTGCCAAGGTCAGGTATCGAATTAAACCGACATGCAAACCATTAGTCTAACCGAGAGAACAGAGCCATGCGGACGATATTCCCGCATCAGCTACACCTGCGTTGCCACAACCCGACAGGCATCCACGAGTTAGCCAAAACCTTGTGCTTCACAACCATCTACACCACACCAATACGTGGTTAATGCAATGCGCAACTACTTCCATCCACCGTCACACCGTTTATCCAGCGTCAATCGACACACGCCAGTCACCCCTAAACCATGCGGTTCTACAAAGAGGGAGCAAATATCAACCACATTCGCTCATCCACCCTAAATTGATTCGTGTAAGAGAAAGACCACATCTTCTCGCCCATTGCATCTGACTCCGGATCTCGGCAATTAGCATTTCACTCCAGCTAGAACAAAACAGCTAGAGATGCATATAAGCACCACCACCCTTAGACAGCAAACAAATCAAACCTTATGTCAGTCATATTCACATCCTCCCACACATGCACCACAGTCACCAACATCAAAGGCCCAGTGTTTTGCAGTCCTATATGAACGCGCGGAGAACACCACCTGGAACGCTTCCTCCAAAAATATCAGCTCTCACCGTTCCACCTCCACCCAGAGTGCCAGCACTTCGCACCGAATTCCTTCCGTGCGGAACCAAACTGTCTTTACAGCCTAAACGTGACAATGAAGGCAGAACGTAGAAAACGAACCACGAAGAGAGTGAACAAAACCTCCATTCTCCCGCATCTGTACTGACAAGTGCATATGCCGATCCAATTTGCCTAACATGATCTCGTTGCATCGGAACCGCCCCCCCCCCCCCCCCTTATGGTTTCAAATAACTCCTCTGCATACGTTAAATACCTCAAACACCGCAGCGTTTACTGGCCACTTTGCAAGCACAACTGCTATGGTTCTTCGAAGTGACGTCTTTCGAGACAACAACCAAACAAACAGCAACGCAAATCACCTCCATACCTTCAATTTTGCATGAGAAGGTTAAAAGCTAGCATACATCACAACCTCCACTCACCTGAGTTATACGCAGAACCACACTCCAAGCTAGGTTCAATTCACACCAGCTTAAACAAATAAGCACGCAATTATACACTTATTTCATTCGCAAATAGCGCATTTATCCCACATCTTAGTTACATGCACCATAACAACAATGCAAATTTCGTGTGCGACGAAAAGTAAATTTGATATGGCAAAGCTACTTATCTAAACACTTGCCACCATGCAACGTCAATGATGAAATACTCAGTCTTTACATTCTCGCATCTGGGTGTGCTGAATCTTTATGCATCTACTCACTGCCAACCGAATGGGTTCACCACTCTTCCGTATCCACTTCTACTCGATTCGTCACCCACCATCCAACACCCGCCACCGCTCTCTCACCACCTATTTCACTCCTGCCAAAAGTATCTACTGAACGCCCATTCGCGCATCACAACCCCTCTCTATCAACGCGGGTCAGTAAACAGAGCCATTTCCTTATCCCGCTTTGCATAAATGCTTCATCGACTGAATTGTGAGGCCATTTACTATGCATAATGCATTTGTTCACATGCTTCACTCACCACTGCGGTTGATGTTTAGCATCAATTATCTCCCTCCAATCCGCGTGTGGTGTAAAGGACATCCCAACCTGTGACAATTCGCCCAACTAGCTGCACGTAGGAATGGCGATTTACGTTGGGTGCACTTTGCACCCAAACTGACCAATTGGACACCACTAGACAAGGCCATTTGCCATTACTTGTGACGAAATTGAATGAGTGTTAACGCACCATGGCGTGGAAAATGGCATTGGTGGCGCGCTGCTGTGCACTCAGTCCTTGCCAAAGCGTTCCTTTGAAGCCGGGCTCTGTTCGAATGGCGAATGTGCTTATCCCACCCACACCTTGCTCCACAGGCAACCGTCTTTGGCCCTAGTAAAATACGTTCTCACATCTTCGTCGCCATATTGGTTTAAGTTAACTAGTTTAAATTGGGTATGAGGGGAGGAGGGAGGGGTAGTATTTGATTAGAAGTGAGCAGGAGGCATTCCTTCGTCAGACTCTTAGGTTTCCGTCTAGCAATCGCCCATTTCGCCAAGTTCCCCGCACCATGATTGGTGAGCGACTTAGCAAAGGCACTCGGTGCTGCGGCACTTCCAGCACACCCCTCAAATGTAGTGCTACAAGGCAATACTCACGAAGCAGGTCAGGCTATTTCCTTCAGACCCCTCAATTGATCGTACATGATCCGACATTCCATAACAACAGATGCTAGGTCTGCATTGTTTTAGGCGTCGTAACTGATATTGCATTTGGAGTCCTGCTAAAATTGAAGGCTGCTGAATCACAATTGAGTGCCACTCGACATCTCCTCGTATGCACCACCCACGTACCCTGTTCCCTCCACGGCAAGTGTGCGACAATGCGACAGCACATCCGCACTTAAGGTGTGGCAGACAAACGATTATTTCAACACTGAACACACTAGCCCAGGTGAGAATGAAGGAAGTGACTCCAATCCTAACTGGAGAAGGAAAAGGAAAAGCAGTTGGCAGAAACGACAGCGCAGAAGGCAGGAGTGGGGCAGTGGGAAGGAATAAGGGACGTAGTGCTTGGCACGTGGCACGCAATATGACAGTCGCAAGTGCGACCAAGAGCCGATCAGTAAATAAAGATGTCACATTTCGGCACCTTTCTATTGGCCTCATTCCGTATTCTCATCAACGGGTACACCTGTTTGCATCTCACGCCTTTGGCACACTGATTGCGGTAGCACATGTAGCCTTCTGGACATTTGCTGCAACTCTTGCCATACTCATACGGATGTCTGCCTTTGTAGTTACCTCTACAAAAGTGAGCCAACACTGCCCACACTGTTGCACACAACCAACTTCATTCACTCCCCTCCACCAATCTGTCGCCCTCGATTGGTGAGGAGGATGGGCAAAGCAGGTGGAGAGAATGCCACTTACGCAGGCTTGTATTGACACACGCTGAGATACTGCGGATCGCGCCAGTCAGATCGAAGGCCATTGCATTGCCGCATGGAGCATCCCAAGAGGTTTGAGTCCGCCCAAACCATCTGCTCATGCACGAAGTGAAACACGATTAAGCATCACCACATCACACTACACCACCACCACCACCATCGAATGCCCAACAAACCACAGGTGTTTACTCGTTTGATCACACCTCCCCACTTCGCAGGTGATGGCGCCTACCTTCGCCACTCGGAAGGGGGAGTGATCGTGCAAAGCACATTGTGCTGCATGATGTGGACGCTAAGCACACACCGCTTCCCTCACCTGAGTGTAGTGGCCACACATTCCACTGCACGACTTGTTGAAGTAGTTGTAGTACTTGTTCTCGCTCCTGTAGGCACAAACAGCTTCAGTGAAGGTAGGCGTCATGCCACCCATGATGGCAATGTTTTGTCCAAGACCACGGTAATGTGGATGCAGTTTGGGATCTGGATGCTTGAACTCACAGAGAGCGGCCCAATAGTCTGCAAGGTGCTCCAACTCGTAGGAGTACTCCTAATCGCAACAACAACAACAACATCAACGTGCGCCATTCAGCGCTACGAAAGGGCTTTGCAATGGAATTGCTGTAGGAGGTGGATGCGAACCTACCATTAGCATCATATTGGTGGCAGGAGGATACACATTTTCGCGAACTGCCAAATGAGCCTCGAGAATTTGTGCCCGTTCAGCATCCGTCGGTGGCTGGCACCACGTGACAGCAATGAACGCAACCAGGATGACGATCCTCGCAAGCAAACCTAGCGGCACAAGCACTGAGCTGGACACTGCATTCACTTCACAGACCAACAATAGTACACTCAAAGCACTCTACAAAGTCGACTTACTGCTCCGTGAGCGTGGCATCTCGGCAAGTGTGCCAGTTGGTGGAGAAAATCACACCTATTTATACTTACAATGCAGTACAGTGTGTGGAGACATGTGATAACATGAGGTGATGCGTATGGCACGGACTTTAGTGAACCACGACCGTATCACACCACCATCCCTCCATCAAATCAAGGCCAAGGTGGCGTTTCATGCCCCACCCTCCTGCTTGCATGCTCATCCACCACCCACTCTCAACACTGCATTTCGTCCGAGCCTTGGGGTTAGGTAGCTTGCGTCGAGGCCTCAGTGGTGGATGTGCCCCCACACATGGCACACTGGTGCTCCACTTTTCGCGGTGTGTGATGAGAGCAGATGGGTGTCAGCGGTTAAGGGACGGCTCCGCATTCTCTCTCATGCATGACTACAAATCCCCTCCCCTTTGCATTCGAGAGCACCACGTCTCGAGAGCCGTGCCTTCACTTGTCACGACTTTTCCATTCACAGAATGTGGTGAGCAATGCCCCTCACATTTGACTGGCCAACCGCCTACTTTACTGACTCCTTTGTGAGCTGCAACACAAACCCCTCCACTGGCCACATTGCTGCAAACAGCGTTCGAATCCTTCCACCAACGGCCAATGTGGTGCGTTTTGCTTTTGAGGAAGTGCAAGCCCGTGTAATGCAATGAGGGCATTGGATCGACTTACCGGAAATGAGGAACTCAATGAATTGGGCTTCAGAGTCCTCGCAGAAAGCCCATGTCTCTCATGTCTCTTCCATCACTCCATTTGTTTTACAACGCTCGCTTCACTCCTCACTACGTACAATGGCAAACGATTGCAGGATGCGGACTACAAAAGTGAGCATCACTTCATCGTGACAATTGAATGGTGATGATGATTATTATTATTATCATTATTGCGATGATGATGATGATGATGATGA